ACAGGGCCTGGGCTGTCGGCTGGTGACTCGCTGGGGCGCTCACTGCCCCACACTGCATGGGATGCTCAGGCAGGCTGAGGTGTTGCCCGGGCCCTAGACAGCCCCCAAGAGCCAGTGGCTGCCCTCACTGGGGGGCTGACTCTCCCGGCCGTACAGCCCCAGCTGGGTCAGTGGGTGCCTGCACCAGGGCCCCTTGTTCTAGGGCACCACGCCCTGAGGCTCTTCTGTAGCCCCACTGATCCCAGGGAATGGAGCCCCGGGCCCTGGAGAGAGCTCGTCCCCCCGACTGCCCAGCTGGGCTGAGATCAGAACCTCCATCTGAGACATGCGTCTGCCCCACTGACAGCACCAGGCACCAGCAACGCCCCACTGACAGCTCTGACCTCTTCCCCTTCCCAGGCACCTTCCCCGCCCCCACCCTCCTCCTGAACCAGACGTCGGCCCGGCTGGGAGACTCCGTGCGGCTCCAGTGCTCCGTGTTCTCCTGGGCCCAGGCCACCCGTGTTGTCTTCTACAAGGACGGGGAGGAGGTTTCATCCCAGACGGGCTTGGAGGAGAAGTTCACGTACAACTATGACCACGTGGTGACCAGCAACAACAGTTCTGGGAGCTACGCCTGTGGGTACGAGATAAAAGGCAGCGACAGCCGGGTGACCAGATCCGAGCTCAGCTCTGCCCAGCACCTCAGTGTTACTGGTAAGAGGTGTGTGTGTGTGCGTGTGTGTGTGTGCAAGTGTGTGTACACACGCACACTCTTTGCCTAGCCACTCGGATTCACAGGAACGGGGGCTGGAGGGACAACAGTTCAGTAACAACCCCCTGAAAGTCTAAACATTGAAATTAACCAGTTTTTAAAATCAGAGATGAAAATTTTCTATCAAAACGTCTTCCTTCAAAATTTATCCCAGGGAACCTTTCACCCCCCATTTTCCACCTCTCTCAGCTCAGTAGGCTCGGCCCAGGCAGATGGTGCATGGGTGTCACGTTACTGGATTTTGAGGGAGCAGCCAAATCACTGATGCACCCATAGGTGGGGGTGTTAGCCCCAAAAATGGTATAAAAGGGGGCCATGTTGGGTATTGAATAGAAGCTCACTGTCTGCTAATCCTATGTACGCTAGTCATGTGATGGTATAATGTCTCTGTGTGTAGTTAGGAGTCTGTAATCTGTGTGGATACTGATTATTTCTCTGCATGTGGTTGAGCAGTGGGCAGAGCCCAGGTGTCGGGTCGGTCCGGTCACCCCCTCCGGTTGCACCTCCAAGGTCTCCACCCTCTCTGTTCCTTCTTACCGGCCGCTCGGACAGAGGGGCCACTGGGCCGCTGTTGGAATAGGCATGAACAACACACATCAAATAACAACAGCGAGGAGCCAGCGAGGAACCGTTTGTCTCCTCCCAGTGCCTGTTCATGTCCCTCCCCATCAGGTGACTCCCTTGCCCAAGGTCAGCTGCTGCCCTCGGAGTCGTACAGTGATTGGAGCCCTGCCCCTCGCTACCCACTGCCTGCACCCTGAGCTACCACCTCCTTCCCCAGCCCTCTGCCTGCCCCCATTCTCCACCCGAGGCAGGGGACTCCGTGCGGCTCCAGTGTTCTCCTGGGCCCGGCCACCCGCATCGTCTTCTGTCAGGGCGGGGAGGAGGTTTTGTCCCAGACAGTCTTGCTGGGAAACTCACCTGCCAGAGTGACCAGGCGGGATCTGGGGCAGTTGTGGGAATTACTCCTGCGGGTATGAAATGAAGGACAGCGACCGCCCAGAGATCAGGTCCCAGCACAGCCCTGCCCAGCACTTCATCCGCACTAGTGTGTGTGTGTGTGTGTGTGTGTGTGTGTGGTAATTCCCAGGAAAGGGGAATTAACTCCCTGCTGCCGCTCTGGACCTTCCCTTAGCCTGGACCTGGAATTGCCCCCCGAGCCTCCTGTGCCAGCTGGGAGATTGTGGGATGGGAGGGGCACACGGACAGGGAGCTTGTTAGAAGAGACGCCTGGACACAGGGCCTTGGCTGTCGGCTGGTGACTCGCTGGGGCGGTGACTGGCCGTCACTGCATGGGATGCTCAGGCAGGCTGAGGTGTTGCCCGGGCCCTAGACAGCCCCCAAGAGCCAGTGGCTGCCCTCACTGGGGGGCTGACTCTCCCGGCCGTACAGCCCCAGCTGGGTCAGTGGGTGCCTGCACCAGGGCCCCTTGTTCTAGGGCACCACGCCCTGAGGCTCTTCTGTAGCCCCACTGATCCCAGGGAATGGAGCCCCGGGCCCTGGAGAGAGCTCGTCCCCCCGACTGCCCAGCTGGGCTGAGATCAGAACCTCCATCTGAGACATGCGTCTGCCCCACTGACAGCACCAGGCACCAGCAACGCCCCACTGACAGCTCTGACCTCTTCCCCTTCCCAGGCACCTTCCCCGCCCCCACCCTCCTCCTGAACCAGACGTCGGCCCGGCTGGGAGACACCCTCCCCACCCCCACCCTCCTCCTGAACCAGACGTCGGCCCGGCTGGGAGACTCCGTGCGGCTCCAGTGCTCCGTGTTCTCCTGGGCCCAGGCCACCCGTGTTGTCTTCTACAAGGACGGGGAGGAGGTTTCATCCCAGACGGGCTTGGAGGAGAAGTTCACGTACAACTATGACCACGTGGTGACCAGCAACAACAGTTCTGGGAGCTACGCCTGTGGGTACGAGATCAAAGGCAGCGACAGCCGGGTGACCAGATCCCAGCTCAGCTCTGCCCAGTTCCTCAGTGTTACTGGTAAGAGGTGTGCGCGTGTGTGTGTGCGTGTGTGTGTGTGTGTGCGTGTGCGCACTCTGCCCAGACACTCAGGTTCACAGGGAAGGGGGCTGGAGGGGCAACAGTTCAGTTACGATCCCCTGAAAGTCTAAACATTGAAATTCATCAGTTTTTAATATCAGAGATGAAAACTTTCTATCAAAACGTCTTCCTTCAAAGTGTGTCCCAGGGAACCTTTCACCCCCATTTTCCGCCTCTCTCAGCTCAGTAGGCTCGGCCCAGGCAGATGGTGCATGGGGGCATCATGGAAAGGCCTGGCGAGAAGGGACCCCAAGAAGTCCCTAAAGCTCAGTTCCCTGCGCTGAGGCAGGACCCAGCGAACCTTCACAGTCCCTGGCAGAGGTTTGTCCAACGCGTTCTCAGTCACGGCTGCAGACGGGGATTCCTCGCCCGCCCGTGGCAGCTGTTCTAGTGTCTCATGACCCTTCTTGCTAGAAAGTTTTTCCCAACACCACACATACATTCCCTTGCGGCAGCTGGCACCAAGGCCTCGTGCTGCCCTCTGCCCAGAGCAGGTCACCCCACGGGGAGCTGCCAGACACTCTGTGGAGGGACAACAGGGTCTGGGATGTTGCTGGCTCTTATGAGGCTTTTGCACAGAGTCCTGGTGCAGCCTGAGCAAACTGGGGTGAGAGTGACTCTGCGATGGGCAAAGGCAGGAGCCTCCCCAACGGCCTCCTTCACTTAGGGTATGTCTACACTACTCTCCTAGTTCGAACTAGGAGAGTAATGTAGGCATACCGCACTTGCAAATGAAGCCCGGGATTTGAATTTCCCGGGCTTCATTTGCATAAGCGGGGAGCCGCTTTTCCGGAAAAAGGGAAAATAATTATAACGGAAAACTGTTCCGTTTTAAGCATTTCCGGAAAAGGGTGCCAGTGTAGAAGTAGCCACAGAGAGAGAGAAAGGAGAAGGAAATCTACTGTAGAATTGAGAGCGTTTGTCCATCCGTCCATCTGTTCAAGAAGTCCTCCTACATGGTAAGAGCTGGGCCTTATTGAGTTCTCACAGGTCCAAGATGGGCCTGAGGCCGCTTTTGGCTTCTGGGATTAGGAAAGACGGTGAATAAATCCCTCACCCCACTGCTCCTGAGGAGCCTCCTCCTCTGTCCTAGAGAGAGGAGTGACTGCACCTCCTGGAGAAGGAGTCACTCCTGGGAAGGGCCCTTGAAGAAGGTGAGGGAAGGAGGGTGGAAAGGCAGGAGTGCGCCGAAAGGGATGGAGTAGCCCCTCCCCACTGTGTGGGTCACCCCATGCTCTGAGGTGATACTCTGTTCCCATTGGCTGGGGACTGCAACCAATGGAAGTTCCAGTAGATGGGCAGGTTACTTGGAGCCTGCATCACGACCCCATCCCAGGTCCAAGACCTTAGGGTATGTCTACACTACAAAGTTAATTCGAACTAACAGACGTTAGTTCGAATTAACTTTGATAGGCGCTACACAGGCAAACCGCTAGTTCAAACTTAATTCAAACTAGTGGAGCGCTTAATTCGAACTAGGTAAACCTCATTCTATGAGGACTAATGCCTAGTTCGAATTAAGTAGTTCTAATTAAGGGCTGTGTAGCCACTTAATTCGAACTAGTGGGAGGCTAGCCCTCCCCAGCTTGCCCTAGGGGCCACTCTGGGCACAACCAGGGAAACTCTTCTGCCCCCCTCCTGGCCCTGGAGCCCTTAAAGGGTCACAGTCTGGCTACAGTGCCCGTGCCAGTTGCAAGCCTGCCAGCACCTAACCAGCAGACCGTGCACCTGGCATGGCATGAGCCAGCCACCCGCTGCCACCCAGCCCTCCCCCTCTTCCCAGGACCAGGCTGGTAGCTCCCAGGAGCATGCCCGGGGCCGCAAAAGGCGGGCACCCGCCTGGTCTAGTGCGGAGATCGTGAACCTCATCGATATTGTGTGCACTAGGCATAGGAATGCGGCTGTCTAGGGCAGGATAGGTGGCATCCTGGCAACCCAG